CGCATTGAATGAACAAGTAACAAAAAATCACAAAATTTAGGAACACGTACGAAAAAAATCTCGTTCAATATTTTTTAAATCGATATAATACAATCGAAAGTATAAAAATTTCTCTTTAAATCGCCTAAGTCATCTTCTTGTTCTTTGAAAATTTTATCCCAACACGATGGCGCGCAATTTAAACATACATTTGCTAAAAAGAGACAAATTGTTGGCGTAGCAATTATATACATTTGCATATTTCTTTTATTCGCGTAAATCAAATACGCCATCAGTCAAATCCAAAGATCATTAATCCAAAGATCATTAATCAATATCTACAATAAATAGCGATAATGAAATGTTAATTTAAAACCTGACTGCACCACTGCAGGTAACGTTTGAACTCGCTGCTATCCGATTGCGAAAAGCTATGAAAAAAAGAAACTTAGGAACAAGATGACAATCTTAGGAAATTAGAGCCGCACACTTTTCTAAAGCGCATCGCGGCGGAAAACAAGGCATCGTTGTTCGACCGATCGCAATGGCGGAAATAAATATCGGCGCGAAGGGAAGGGCTTGCCCGCGTTACGCAATTTTTACACGCATTGCATCGAGTGAAAATAAGATCGAATCGAAATCTTATCGTCGTATAGCTCGTATATATATTATAATTTATTCAGAGAGAGAGAGTCGGTTTATCTATAAAATACGCAGATCGCTGTTTTATACACATACTCGTCTCTGCGTGTATCTTGAAATACACTCAAGAGGGGGAATTGCAAAAATGCGTGCGTGTGCCGAGGGCTCGCCAGTTAACTCGTTGCAAAACAAGGCGGGGAGATTTTTCAATGACGACAATATCGACATTGCATCTTTGAAAGCTGATAATAACGCGTTAACTATGAAAGCGTAACCCTGAACCGAGGACGCATAGCAAAACTTGAAGAATTTTCGAAACGAGGATTATTAAGAAATCAAAAAGATTTACGGTACTTCCATTCTTGAGTAAATACCGAAACTAATATCGAACAAAGTTGTGATTTATGATAGAATCTTTATCGAACGGCTAACTTGAAAATATCGAGTTTAAGTTGTAAGCGAGTAAGTTCCAGAGTCTCCTTCGTGGGCCACGGGCTCGAGAAGATTATAAAAAGTTATAAAAGTGTGTTGTTAGAAGTTAAGAATTATATTCTAGGATTACTGAAACTCCTCTATTAAGATATGTATACTTGTGAACAGAACAGAAAGGAAATTTCACGGTTTAGTGACGAAATTTTGAAATCGGTGACGAGCAACGTTACATTTTATCAGATTATCGATGAAACAGGTTTCAAGAAAGTTTCCATATGTTTCAATCTTCTACGCCACTGCTTTCTACAAATATTTAATTTCACGGTTAACATATGCGTAATGAAAATGTGTGGAAAGGAAAAACGGCACTCGACAGAGAGTTGGTATTGGGTTGAGGGATTAGATGACTCAACTTTGTTTTCCGATAACTAGCTAACCAATTATCGAAGTAAATGTCTCTAGAGTTCAAAGGTAATAGTGATTCAATCATCAAACACTCTAATATCGAAAATATCGGATCACGGAAGAAACCATTTGAACTTTTGTAAAAAATTGTTTTCGAAAGTTCAAAAATTACGATCACAACTCTATTACCTCTAAATAAAAGAAACAATCTCTCGCAACAACGTTCACTGACGAGATTACTCGCAATGTAAAAACATTGCGAATTGAATCCGATTTAAAACTGCACGATGAACCAACCACTGGGTTCGGGGGGGCAGAAGCAACCAATTACCTTGCAAGTTGGCAAACTTTTACCGTCAGGCTGCGGTCTAGAAACGAGAAAAGAAGAGAACGAATTGAGACCTCAATGAAATCGCAAGTACGAGATACGTGTGATAAATTAATTCGAAACGAGTCGAGAGAGAGAGAGAGAGAGAGAAAGAGAGAGAAAGAAAAAAAAATCTTTTTGCAAACAATTCGATTTCCTTTTAAGAAACAAATAATCGTAATCAGATCTATTCCTTCTCCTTTCGTGACGCTTCTAATTAACGTGGAGTATGTGACGGTTTCGAGGCCATCGACGAGCGCGCGAGTATCGACATTGCCCAAGTTTTTATTCGTAATAATTACGCGCAAAGGAAGAAGAGAAACTCGATTTTGCCAACAATTAACAACATTGTCGTAGCCGCGAAAATATCCTCTTCTCTTATCGCTCAGAAATACGTACCTATGTATAAATATTCATATATTTATTTTTTCTGCTTCACTTTGTATACATACGTATTATTATAATACTGCACATCGTTACTATATTTATCCTGCTGGATACTAATTTAATCTATCTACGTATTTACCTTCGTACTATCTTCGTGTAATCTACTTACATATCTATACTTATCGATTTCGATTCGAATAAACGATGTAACGCCAAAATTTTATTATTAAATTTAATTATTGTGAAAAATTCGACTTCGATTTTTAAAATTATGAGGCAAAATATTATTCTCTTCGCCCAGGCAGAAAGAAAATTAGACAATCGCATGGCTACAGAGTAGTAAGTAATTCGATCGTATGTCGTCTTTCGAATTTACCTTCATCAATATCGGAATAAATAACTTGCATAATATCGATATAAGATACTTGCGAAGACAGAACAATGTACGCAGCCGGGATGCAAGGATATTGCGTTTTTTTTTTTTTTTAAATAAGGATGGATTACGGTAATCGTTGTAACAGGCGAACGACCACGGGTAAAAATATAATCGACGAGCTTAGCCAATCGAAACCTTTCGAAGGACGTAATGAAAACGGAGACGAGCGATAAAATTATGTTTTATAAAAAGTGCCTTTTTATGTCATTCGACATACCGGGATACCGCAAACGGATCTCGATAGATTCGAGTATGCTGATTCGTTAAGTACTACGCATTACCTTTACTCGTTGTTTTTCTCGGCCGGTGTTCGTATTGCGTAAGCAATTTATGAACCGGTGAGAAAAGGAAAAACACGTTGCATTAGCCTTCCCGAGGATAATAAATACAATCTGAATCCGAAAACAGCGATCGATAGGATATTTAACGGATGCATGCATTTAACTACATGTTTTCAACATTTATAACTCGGTTGATGAGTCACGCGGTTGGTTAAATATCACAATGGTCAACTTTCATGCGAAGCAAGAAATCGTCCAAGAAACAATTTTTAATTTAACTTTCGGTAAAATTGTAGATCATGCATGACCATTTCGGGTTTCAAATTTTTTAACGAGATTACACCTTTTTCATAGTATTTAATTTCTGCCGAAAGCTAATTCAATTGAGTTGTTTGAGTAACGCGTAATCAAATAAAACCTCTTGTAAGACTTTAAAAAGTGTTGAACTCAATTCCACGACCCGGAATCCAACAACGAGATAAACATCATTGATCGCCTTTTGCAGAGTAAAATTCAGACTACGATTAACTTATATTCGAATTATATTAATTCAAATCGTTATTGAATTAAAACGATTCTTATCAACGATATAAAAATTGCAAGCTCAGAACGAAGTTTCGGAAAAAGAACTTCCTCTCTAAACCGTCCTGAACCTGATCGACCACGATAAAACAGGCCAGTTGAATGAAACTCGATCGCGCAAATTCGATTTGAAGACGATATCTCAGGACTTAGACTATAGGGACCTGTCAAACGCGACGAAAAGCGATGTCAAGGAACTTTCGTCACTGGATACCGGTCAATCGCTTTTTTGCATGCGTGTCGACCAGCTGGCCGAGGAAAGCGTAAATGCACACACTGTTGCATAAGTATCCGGTGTGCGAAGAGCTGGCGACCTTGGAATATCAAATACTGGAAACGTAAAATGAGCACGTAAAGGCGATGAGCCTGTTCCTTCTCGGGGCACGAATTAATCGTGCGAGACAAGGAATTTGATGGAATCGGGAAATGATCATGATAATGATAACGGTTCGCGAAGAAATTTCGTAAGAAACGATGAAATCAATGCTCGTTTTTAATCAGGATAGTATAAATGTTAAAAATATTCGTGTAATTAATTAGAGAAATTTTAAAGAAAGATTATATTTGTGAATCATTGTTTAACCTTTATTCATTCTCCATTCTTTCAGATTGATTTAACTTTGTGTTTTTCTTTGTGTTTTCTTCATGATTGAAGTGATGTCTATATATAAAAAAAAAATCTGCATCCTTTTATGATTAGCTTCCAAGGCTGATTTTTTTTTTTTTTTCAAGTTCGAAGGCTAGCCTTCTTTTATTTTAGTATCAGAAACACGAAAAAAAAAAAAAAAAAGAACGGATGTATCATCAACTTATTTTTAATTTGAAAAAAAAATACATTCTTTAAATGAAAATCATCGCTTCCTTATTGTTTAAACGTCGTTGTCTAAATCTTCGATTAAAATTTCACGATAAAAGATAAAAATCTTGGATAATCTTTTTCGTTCGACCTTCGATTGCGTGGATTAAAATAATGTGATAAAGAGATTTTATTATTCGGAATCATTTTAACTGAAGAATTCGTTATCAAATAATAGATTATATCTTAATAACCTTCAATTTGAACTTTAATAACAATAATAATAATAATTTATGAATATTATTATTATTTTCTTTTAAACTGGAGCATAACTCGATATCCCACAATCCTAAATAATTCACTCTCTCTCGTTCCCATGATATTCATATAGTTACACGTTATTTCCATTATAGGTCAATTATAGCAAATAAATTTTATTCCATTCGTAAACAACATTTTCGTTAAAATCTTTACACGAATCGTTCACACATCATATAAATAAACAAGAAAATTTAGGATAATAATTATTAAACAATTTCGAAACATAAAATTGCTAAAATTAAATTGCTTATGTTCTAAGAATATTTAATATATATATTAAATATATATATATATATTAAATAACACATTATTCATTAAACTTTAAACACACAATACAATACAATATAAATATAAATTGAGTGCAATACTTACTGCCCCGTGGACCGTAGAATTTGACGGAAAATTCGTTTAATCCTCCTAATATCGTCACCTCATGCTTGCTTTCTATTCTGTAGAGTAGAGGAGTCGAGTTACGAGTTAAGGAAGATTAAACCTGTAAGAAAAGATCCTTTCGCGGCGTGGGCATC